TTTTTTTCGCAGAGGAATTTATTCAAGAAACATTTTGTGTCACGTAATAAACCTGCTGAGACTTGGGTGAACTTTGTCACTGGGCGTTTAGCCACACTTATAAAGTCTTGAGAAGCAGGACTCAAATTGAGGTAACTTGAAATTTTAGTATGACGCCAAATTGCCTAGAATAATCTCTGCCTATTCTTCTTTTAGATTACTAGGTCACCGCAGAACAAAGCCGAGTTTTTGGTAGAAGAAAGCTTTGCGTAATTGTAAATCTGCAAAAATGGCCAATCTGCTGATTGCTACTCCTGCGCAATGAAGCGACGCTAGCGCCAGGCTTTACTGTGATTTTGTCCGATTACGTTCCCTCCACTGTCATCTGTATGGGCGATTATCCGCTGCTATAGTGGTGTTCGCTCGATATAACACTACATGATCGTTCTTTTATGGCCCGACTGATTGTTTATCCTATAGTTATCTTTTTATAAGAACAATACTCAGTTTCTTGCTCTTTTTCACCCAGTTTAACCTTTTACTTGAATTTTCTCATTCCAGAAGCACTATGCAAATTTGGCACATGGAACCGTACCCATGTGGGGATCGTCGTCTACCCCATCATGTGTTCCCGCCAAAGAAAATTACTGCCGACCAGCTCCTGAACCTAACCGGTGTCCAATACTTCAAGGTACTTCGCTTATAGGTCAAGCTAGACGATTAACCAGATAATTGACGGATGCACTGTACAATATAGGTTGATCTCGACGATACTGTGGCGATGAAGAAACGTCTATCGAGGGTGAAAAATGAAAGAAAAGTGAACTCATCCGACATGTTGACCATCAACGACTCAACCCCGGAAATTAATGAGAAGGTATAGTGAGATCGCGATTAAGCTTTGCACTTCTACATCAGTCAAAGCTGAGATGAAATTTTGTGTTTGTTAGACGGTTGAAAAATAGAAACTTAGTTTACCTAAACTTTATGCTTGAAAGTATCTGCAGAAAAATGAGGGTGTAGTGCGAAGAGTTCAATTTGCTCAATTAGAATAACTTAAACAAAATGACGCTATGTCGCTTACACTTCGCCGCTACAATCAAATTTGGACGAAAGTTTCTCCGCTTTTCCTTATTTTCAAACAAATCGCCCTGTAGAACGTTACAGAATCGTTTCCATGCAGTTCTTCACATAAAGCCTTTTTTGGCAATATTGCTCGCATATCACTGGCAAGCTTACAAATCAACCAACTGTCTCATTGCTAACAGATAGCTTAAAAATGAAGTATGCTCCTTCAGTTAGAGGTGAGCAATATAAAGATAATAAGCGACCATCACGTTCAGCCGCAAACACTCTAGCATTGAAATTGAGTTTTCAAAGGCCTTATTTTGCTCTTTAATCTGAAAAAAAATGAATATACAAATGATTATTGGCTCTTCGATTTTTGAAGACGTTCAACGTTTTGTCCTTTCCTTATTTTTTTTCAAAATAACTTAAACATAGGACTTATTTATAATCCCCATCGTGTCTAACAGTTGAATACCAGTGCACTTTTTTGTAGAATTAGATTTCAGATACATCCAACTAAGAACAGCACTTTTATCTAATACAAGAAGCTATCTCACGTGTCTCTGCTGTAAGCATTGAACGCCTTTTGAAGGAAAAAGGCGCAGAGGCCATTTATCTCGGCCGTAGAACCAGTTCTAGCAAGCAACATATTGAACAACCAAATTACAAGGTTTTCAGAACAAAATTGCTCATGTTTACTTAGTGTTCTGCAGTTAACATTATAACGCTTAAAAACTGCTCCTTGACTTTCTTAGGACAAGAGTCAGGATCTTAGCAGTCTTTGAGGGGTTAGCTTGGATATTGGCAATTATTATGCTTGATGTTTTCATTGTTCATAAACTATTCATTAATGTTTTTCTTTCCTAAATGCTAATCCATTATCCGCCTCTCACTCTGCCTTTGCTTTCGCTGTTCTCCGCAGACATAAAATGCTTCTCAACATCGTGATGACATCATATTTTTATCGCATCCCTAAAAACAACATTCACGATTTAATCGCAACGATTTAGTGTCAATGCATCCATCAGTAAGCATATCAAATTGTTCTTTGTCTGAATTACAGTGCCAGGCACGAAGCAGATGCGATTGGAACAAACAAACAGAAAAAATGACCTGGGAATTATTATCAACGTGAAAGAAGGGCGAAAGATGATGCATCGATTGGTAAGCGGAAATGATCCGCTACGGTATTTTCACGCACACAAATAAATGAGGCAGGAAATATGGGACAGATCAGAGAGTGTGGATTATCAAGAACTAGTGATAAAAATGCTAAATCCAGATGTTAGGAACAACTTTGACGTTGAAACTATTTCCTTAGTGTTTTATTCTTTTTTTGCAAAAAACTTGCAATTTTAGTCTATCCGCCAGCTTTACAAAAATTCTTACGGATTAAAAAATTTTCTCTTATCAAATTGTTTTTGGTTTGCTCTTCTTTTTCTCGAGAGCTAGCATAGTTCCTTATGGTCTTTCTTTACAGGAGATATGACCATTGAATACCGCTCAAAAACTAATTTCAAATCTGGTTCCCTTATTTGCGCAGCTGTTCTCTATAGATAGTTATAGCTTTTTCTTGCAAGGTGCAAAATTGTGGAAAAGTCGGCTTGCCACTTCCTTATTATAACTGTATTGTGACG